CAGAAGGGCTCAGCAAAGATTTGGTACTTTAAATACATTCTGTTTGAAAATACATGAGCAGAACCATGCACCATGGAGGACATCTCCTCAACTTCTTCTAGACTGGCAATGACAGTTTGCTGTCCCTCTTAGAAATATTTTCTGAGTACTTATTATTACTGGGATTTTATTTATATTTGAACAGCAATTATGAGAAAAATGTGAAGTATTTGATTAAAACTCACAGCACTTATATTGTATGCAACCAGTGAATTAAAAAGACTCCCAACCAAGGCTTGAGGGCAAAATAAATGGGGTAGAAATGGTTGAGTAAACCCACATTAGCTTTGCTGACTTTACATGTTGAGCCAATGTAGTTTTACCATGTCAACCCTCTTTAGTTCTAAGCTATTCAGCTGTATGCACCCCTCTTGGTAACATTTACTTCTGGAACATTTTGAAAATTGTTTATGTAGGTTAAAAAAAATAGCAGAATTCTTTCACTGTTTTACCTCCAGCCTGACAAAAAAAAATCTAGACTTTTAGGAGTTTCTCTGTGTGTAAACAGAGATGACCGTAAGTATTTTCCATTTGAATTTAGTTTTATAAGTATCATCAAATCAGTCATTGGCTCATAACTGTTGTATCATATAATTGTATCATGTAATTTATTTATTTGCAAATATCCTCAGTAAACTTCTAGAATTTTTTGTAGCATCTTGTTTTTTATGAGAAATGACATTTAATCAAAACTTCATAAAAGAAATTCAGAGAACATGAATTGGCTCTCTTCATTAGTAATTATTCACTTACCTCAAATAAGTTTGGTAGTTTCTTAAAATCTTTGGAATGATGTAGAACAATAAAGTCTTCTGGTTTTTTTGCAAGTTTCCTCACTTTAAAATAATTTTGTTGTTCTTTTAGAAGTAGAAAACTTCAAAATATTTTTAAACATTTGATTCTCTATCACTTCAAACTTTTTTATTCCTTCAACCCCTTTTTATTAATTTCCTTAATTCTTCAAGCATGGACATTGATTTTAACAAAATATTAATGTAGGTAGAATGAAAAATTTCATATTTCTGACTGCATAATATCTGCGTCTTAAATTATTTTCATACCTTGACCTCAAAATACTCCAAAATGGGTTAACTCATTGAGAGATAAGGGAATAATGCACAGTCTTTCAGGAGTTTTTCTTTCATTGTCCTTGTGAAATGACTTTTTACATACTGATTTTAGATTTTAGGTCTGAAAATACAGAAAACAGTATCTTTGTAGAAGCTCTTCTGCGATATCTGCTGGCTGAATTGGCACTTGCAGTTTGAAAGTGCCAAGTAGTAATATGAATACTAATACTGGCTGGAATCTTTCCAGTTCTATTAAACTCTTTCCATTTCTGATAATTAGTCTACTCTGGCTGTAATCTGACAAGAGGACATTTCTGGAAGTCATACTATCCAAATTGGACTTCTAAATAGAGTACAATGATGAAAAAGGTTATGTATGGATTTTTAGGTATAGTAACAAGTTGAAGAAGTTCCCTTTTTTTCCACTTGGGAAGTTTTAGCACAAAAGGTCTTAATGGGAACAATGGTGTGGTAGGTGTTCAAAGGATGTAAAAAGGGAAGTGAGGCATAGACATGTAAGACTTCATACAATGCTTTGGAAAATCATCTGTCAAGGGATTATAACCACTGTGAAATTAAGAATTTATATGTGCAATGAAGAGTTCAAAAGCATTTGAATTTTATTTAAAGACTACGAATGGAGTTACAATGGTAATGATGAAATCTTGTCTTTCACATATACTAGAGATAAGAACAAAGTCTTACACTTGCATTATTATAGAATCATTTCTCTTATGTTTATGACATTTTCATTGTTCAGAGGGACAGGGTGGACATGAACTCTGCTTTTCTAGTCTTGTGAACTTTTCTAGGATTTATTATAATATTACCGTAGATTACTGATCCATAATAAGTCTTTTGCTCATCTCTAATAGTATACGAGAAAGTTGAATTTTTTTTTGAGGAATTGTGAATATTGCATTTCTTTGCTTGACAGTTTTACTAATTGTATTGGAAATGCTCAAGGACTTGTTGTATCTTCAGCTAAAATGCAGAGATATTATGGAAAGGAGGGAATTATTTCAACTGAGCTATTTTATGCCACTTTCCTGAGTCCTCCTGCCTTTTCAGGGGCTTATCTCACTGCATTTAAGACTTGCTCACCGAAATGAGCTGTTGAGAAAAGCTGGAAGGAGCCTTTCCTCCAGCTCTCCCACCAAACAGCTCTGCATGTTGGCTCCCTCCCAATTCACCTGGGACAAGCTTTTAAGTCGAGACTCTCATGCTTGAAGATTACTTCACTATAGATAGTTCTGTGTGAACACTACTTCCTGAAAGCTATCTAAAGAAAGAAACAACTAATTTTTGAAAGGGGCTTGGATGGGATACTGATTAAATACCATCTTCAGTTTTTAAATTAAACATCTGTTGCGTTAATTAGTTTACTGATCCTGCCCTGTTTCACTAAGTAGAGAATTTGTGTTTTAAATGTTGAATATGCAAAGTCTGCTTTATGGCTTTGTACTTCATCGTCTCAGATGCAGTTGGCAATCCATCCTGTAACAATGTCACAAAAGGAATATTTGTTTTTCTTCCTTTTTTATTTGACTAACTGTTCAGTACTTCAATAATGAACTACTGTCTTCATTTAGCCAAATTATAGTTGTCTAGGTGATTTCTTTCTGAGCAACTGGCTTCCTATCATAGCTCCTTTTCCTTTTGGTTGCCTTCATTGTTTAGCAGAAATATGGAATTTAACCTTTTCTTTAGAGTTAAAAAACATACACATTCTAAGCCATAAAGCTCAGATATTGCTTTTTGTCCTTCATATTTTTTATACTCAATAAAAACACATCGGTCAGACATAGATTTATCCTATGTAGTTCTCATTCTTTTCCACCTTTTGCTTGCACTTCAGAGAGTTGAAATTTCACTAAGGGAGCCCTTTCATTTAGGAGACAATTAGCTGAAAAACCAAGATCAGTATTGATAGTAGTTAAGAAATTGGTCTTTCCACATCAATACTTGAGCCATATCAGCCTGCGACTAGCATAATAAATGATATTACATGCATGTATTTTTTGTTAGACAAAGATGCCATCTTGTGGCAGAATGTTGGAAATTGTATCAAACTGTTTTCATTTTGGTAGAGAAATGAAGTCAAATTTTTAGCAATATTTCCAGTATTGTTTGTTGTACCATCATCCATTGAACCACGATCCTAATGTACATACATACCCAAGATATCTGATGAGCTAGCAAGTGAATATTTAGTCCTTAAGAGAAGGCACTTATGACAAATGCCTCATGGCAAAAAGTGTTCAGCATTGGGAAAAGTGTGATAATTCTTTCGTCTAGTAAGAAGTCAGCTTACAGTTAAAAGACCTTCTTTATAAAAAAAAAAAGCATGTTTGTTATGCTTTATTCTCAGAGAAGGGGTTAAATTACTCATAGATTTTTCTTACATCTAAAAACTGAAAATAACATGAGCCATTAGTGACTAAATGAATAAAAATAATTAATACTATTCCTATTTATCTTTTCTTTTACTATGCAATTTTCTCATTTACAGTAGCAATTTGTAAATGTTGCAAATATATGACCTCTATAAATAAAATACATGGAATGTGTATCACAATTAAGATTTGCCAGCCAGATATACAGGTTTTCTAAATAGCATAAAATGAATAAAATTTAGATCAATAATGTTTTGACTGAGATTAATATTTATATTTTTTATTACATGATTCAAGGGGAGGTGAAAAAGGAAAATAATTAGTGCATTGAGGAAGAATAACAGTAATTAATTGTGCACAGGTGGACTTGAAGAAAGAGGCATCTGTTGCACATTTCTGAAGCAGTAGGGAAGTCACACAGATGTGACAGCCTGTGTAATCACAATATGAGTAAGTACCAAGGAGCTCAGAAGTGTTTTCCACTGACTCTTGCCAGCTACTTTTTGCCTTTAACAGAAATCACTTTAGTGTTTAGATAAATGTTTGGTGTGTTTTGTGAGGTTTGCAATATAGAAGTAAATAACAGAAAATGGTAAATTAAATATTATTTTAGTAGAAACACCATTAGAGAGTGGCAACTTTACTCATACTCTGACTTAAAAATCTGGTTAGTCCTACTAAGCATTTTGGAGTTTTTAGAGATTGAAAACATGAATAAGGAATGGCACAAATACTTGTGGTTAACTATCTGTACCTTCAATTCAAGAACTTAGTATAAGAAACAAATTGTCAAAGCCATACATTTTAGAATTTGCATGAAGAAATAGTTCTTTTTCCATATTTGATGGTAACCTAAAAAACTGCATTTAAATGAGTTTAAAGTGAGGCAACAAATCTCCTAAATTCAGGAAAGAGATTACATATTCACATGAGTTTACACTGAAATCTTGTATGTAATTCACAAGGATGAAAAATATTGGTGGGGAATATAAAAGTAGAACTAATTAATATAAAAGCAGAATTAATTAACAAATCTGAAAGTAAGAAGAAGTTACCTCTGTCTGTACATTAGGCTATAATCTGAAGAATTTGGTAGTTATTAAAACTATATATGTATATAGAGCAATACATATATTATAGAATGACTCATATGACTTTGATATAATGAATAGTTTCTAATGTTTAAGATATGTAGAAATATTGTGTTGACTGTGTATGGCATGGGCAAACAGTTAAAGTCCTCAGAAATCTATGCAGATCAGTCTGTAATTATTCATACCTATATATTCAATATCTGACTTTTACGTATAAGAAATGTTCACTTTTATCAAGCAAGGACATGGCTATTATACTTTGCTTATTAAAGAGGTCGCAAAGTAACAAACAGTCTTCTCCTGACTGATATCCCTGTCACTTGTTCATCCAGAAATATGGAAATATTCATACACTTAACAAGAAAGAAGATAAATTGGGCTGTGAGTTGCCACTGATTCTCTCAGGTGAACACCTTATTTTGCCACTTTAAATGAAGTTCTTCTGAAAGATCACTTCTGCCACTCTTCTGCAAATACTGAGACAAGATCTGCTGTTTATCAGCTGACTTTGCAAGGGTCTTTTTGCAGCAGCAAAGCAGCTCATACATCTGGTGTGTTAAATTATCAGGGCCCTTCAGCCTAACAAGCTGAAACATGCTCCGTCGAACAGGTAAACATAAAGCAAACAATGATATATTATCTTCTGCAAGCTCTTGCGCAAGGCAGAACAGCAACTTGTCCCATAGGGCCTCTGAGGGGCAAAAATTAGTGAAGTAAGAATAAATCTTCCTTTTTTTTTTTTTTTGAAAAGCTTTTTAAAGCTGGAGCCTTGGTGGCTAAATTCTCCAGCTAAATAGGAAGTGTTTTATACTTTGGTGGAAACATCTCATTTCATTTCCAATGCCATTTTTGGTAACTGCTCTGCAGTATGAATTGAATTTAGTCAAGAGCAGATTCAGCAATCATCTATAATGGTGGAACTGAATGAGGAAAGTTAGCAATGAAATAAAAGAGTTTCAGTATTTACTGCACCTGATTCATCAATTACCCTGGAGCTTTCCAGTACAAACTGGATTTCCTTATACACAAAACTATATGCTGTTCAAGCATCCTGCCACAACAAGAGCTGTTACATTTCCTGGTAAACAGATCTCTTTTCCTTTGACTACCTCTTAACATATTAACTATTTCCTTTCTGAATATGGCATTTTCAAGTGTCAGTAACAGCTGAAACAAGCCCTGGAATTAAAAAAAAAAACAAAAACAAGCATAGGTCTTTTTTATATTGATATAATTTAATGGTTGTTTTCTTACCTGATGAATCAGAAAAAAATCTTTTTGTTCTTTGTGGACAGTGGATCAATTTTTCATGCTTTTAAAGAAAATGTATTGAGGAAAGAGAAATGATGATGAATAAGAGGTGAGGCATATGATTTGGGAGTGGATTGCAGCAAAATCTTGGGAGTTTAGCTCTAAGCATTTTAAATTTTTTCTACTTACATAGATATAAATTATTAAAAACAATTAACGCCATCAACAGGTATAAAACAGTATATGGCTATTAAAATAAAGAAATTAACAAAATTTTCATCTATCAAGTGGATGTTTATTATCTCTTATAAAAAGTTCATCCTTCATGCAACTTTAAAAATATTTGATTAATAGCATTATGCCATAAGTGATATATATAAACTGGCTGTATAGAAAGTCTGTATAGAACCTTCCTAGATGTTACAGATTCTGATTTTGAATACTGCATTAGCTTTTTCTTCCTTTCAAGGAAAAGAACAATTTCTAGTTATGCAGTAGTTGTGAGGTCAGGTAACCATATTGTATTTGTAGCTATAGTTATTCATTTTACATAGTTCATTTTTTAATAAATCCTCATGAAAAATCATCAAAATTCAAAAGATAAGTTCCATGAGACAGTAGAGAGTTTTTCCTCTTTCTTCTCTAAACACTGGAGAGAAAGAAAAAATACTTCGTCTTGTTTTACCTCTGGCTGAGAAAGATGAAAGTCTTCTGGGCTTTAGTGCTGTTTCCTACTGCATATAGAACAAGAAATTACTTTCAGAAGCACTGAGCACAAAGAGAGATTAGTTTGTATGAAGTAAAATTCAGATTTTTTTTGTTTGAAAATGAAATTATCCTCTTTCAGTGTCCGTGTTACTTTTCATTCAGTTGTATTACCTGGATGTTTATTCACAGCTCTCCCAAGGAAATTTGCCTGAGTTTTATTCACTGATCTTCTGTTTTTCATTTGGGAATTAAGAACATGAAATTCGGACTGGAAAAGTTATTGTTTTCTTTCTGATATACTGAGCATTATGGAGCTTATCTTAATCACTTCAATAACACAGGCTTTAAATATTCAATATTTGGAGTGTCTCAAATGTACTGACCTGCACAGCCATAAGGTCAATATATGCATAACCATTATCTATTGTGAATTAAACAGCTTTTCATCAGGCCTGTACACAGTCATCCTGGGAGGTGATTTCAGTGCACACAGGATGCACACATCACGCAGTGCATGGCAGTGCAAAACCATCCTGTGCTGTACTGCTCTGGAGACCTTGGGGCTTGGACTAGGAGACCTGTAAAGGACCCTTCCAGCCCAAGTTATTCCATGATTCTGTGATCTGAATCCACCTCGTTTTTGCATGATTCTACAGCAATTCTGTCATTGCACGTGCCCCAGTGTGAAGATAGAATGACGTGACTAAAAATCTTTCAGAATGAAGGGAATATAAAAGCTCTTCCAGAAGGGGGCGTTGCTTTTCTTCCAAGACAGCTTTCTCTTCGTCTAACGATGCATTTGTACTTAAAATTTTTTTCATTCACTAATGAGAATTTACCACCTCAAAGGTCTGTGTTAGATTTTCAAAGTCATTGTAGATTAACTCAATTACCCATGCATTGACTTTAATGTGAACCACTTCATGCTACTTAATGTTAAAATTGTACTAAAAATTATGAGAATTGAAAATCAGTATTGTCTAAAAATAGTGTAATAATATACAATGCATTAGATCTAAAACAGCAATTTGCCTTTAAAGATTAAGTGTCTGTGGTGAAGTGCTAAATTCACCCATAGTTCAGCTGCACTGGCATGTGGTCCTGCTGTTCTGGTCGAGAGATTAAGTAAAATACTCTTAGCAGTCAAAGCAGTTTTCTAGTCTGGAAGGCCCTTCAATTAGCCATGCAACTGCCTTTCTGAAGCAGGGAATAACATGCTATTCTGCTGTTAGACATTCATTAGACATAAAACTTCAGCAGAATAGTAATTTCATAATGTCTATATGTATTACAGCAATCTATTTTTGCAAAGCATTCCCAGCCAGTAACATTGATGTGCTCTGTCAAATAGACCTCTCAGACATGACCAGACTCTAGTAGCATATTAAACAGGACAGAAAGAAAAGGAGAAATTAATCTTTTACTTCCTTAGCCCACTGTGTCACATAAATACAAAATATTTGAAATCAGTAAATATGAACACACATACTTGACATCAAAACTTAATGCACTGTATCTGACTTGTGTGGAACAAAATAGGTGAGAGGAGCAGGTGTTTTCTCTTTCTGAGGAAAGAAAAGCACCATAAATAGGAATTATTAGTGAAAATCAGATTACTTCTGTGGAAATAAATGTTTAAAGTAAAAACTGATGTGAATGTTTGCATACAAAGTAAACGAACAGTATTTTGACCACCGTCAGCAATAGATTTGTAAGTGGATAGTGAAGGCATATACATATAGAAAATGGGTTATGATTGTACAGTTACTGCCTTCTTTACAAAAGAAATTTAGATTAGAATTTTACAGAAATGAGTGGAAATGTAGTAGTCAGAATGGTCACCTTAACAAGACTCCATCTGTCTTTGTCACAACCAAAATCAGACATTCCAGGTTATTTTAACTATCATCTGGAAAAAAAATAAATTGAGAAACGTGTAAAGACAAATTCAAAAAGAGAACCATGCTACTATTTATCACCAGAGATTTAGATAGACCAAGTGTTTCTGTGGATATTTTGATCTCAAAATGTATGCAACTGTGATAGTAGTAGTTTAGTGGCAGCATTTTGTGCAACACAGTGTGCTGGCACATAGGCTCTTTGAAAAGTTTACAATGAGATTTCATTGCAGGAATATATGGCATGAGCTTTCACTAGAGATGGAAATAATTGCCCACATGACTGTACTGCAGAGGCTAATCAGGAATAATGGAATAATCAGGTGATGGGTGGAAGACAGGTTACACAAACCATTTAAGGATCCTACAATTTGCAATTCTGTGCTCCCAAGACAATGAAACAAGAATGATACACCTGAAACTCCAGTAATAATTTCACAGTGCCATAATAATTTCTCCCTTCCAGCTGGGGAGAGTAGTTGGGTGAAAATTTTCTGCTAGAATTTTTTCCATGCTTATACTTGTGTATGAGTCCTTCCCCACAGCTAATAGAAATTCTGAGAATGTTTGTACATTGATGATGCACCAGAAGTCTATCAGTGACTTCTGTGTATATCTTTAAATCAAAAATCATGCCAAGATCATTTTTCTAATAAATGTAAGGTAAGGCAGAAAGGGAAATGTCTCTAATATTATCAAGTGAGAAACACACCTTTGGCAGTGTTAATGCTAATTTGCACAGTGGAGACTGGTGTTGATATTCATCATATGGTAAGGTTTGTTCCCATTTCTTTGGTATCATCTCTCTGGTAATTTTATAAAACACCGCTGTTCCTTTGTAATGAGATGAACTGTGGTTACCAAATTCATCCCCTTCTTTAATTTGGAGCTCCAGCCTTGGTTATCTTTGTGAATGAAAAATCAGTCTGTAGGCTTTCCTGAAGCTTCTCCATTCCCTGCTGCCCATATAATATATTATAAAAAAAAAAAATTATCCTGAATTTAGGTGCATGGCATCTAAAATAATTCATTAGCATGAGTCAAGTAAAGGTATTCATATAACATTTGGTTGTTCCTTGATTGTTCTTTATCATTCCTATTACTTTATTGAACATCTGAGTTCAGCCTGCTTCAGTAGTAGGCATATCTTTGTAGCTAGCTTTTTTAGCCCTTTAATAGTTGGCTTCAAGAATAAGTGGTGAAGGCAGTGCTGCAAGTTGTAAATCAAGGAACAGAAAAGGAGGTATGAACATAAAGAAGAATAAAAATAAAGGGGTGTTGTGAATGAAATTAAAAGTATATGCTTTCTGGTTATTCAGGATGGATAGCTATGTGTAACAAAAAATGAATGGCACAGCAGAGGGGTAGATGCATTTTTAGGCTTTCTAAATCCATTTATTTGATACATCTACAGACACTGTCCTTTGTGTGTAAAAGCAGACATTTCTCATGGGCTGGAGACTTCTCTTTTTGAAGAATATTCCTTTCTTTAGAGTACATTCAGTTTTCAATGGGAGAGTTTATGTACAAAATGTTCAGAGGGCCAAATATATATTTATATGTTCAATCTAAGACAGACAGAAGAGACTATGTGCAATTTAGGGTGAAAACCTTTCACAGGCTTCTTCTCCCTATTCCCTATAAGCAAGTCTCTGAATGGTGGCAGCCACTACATGGAATTTTCTAGGCTGTTAACAGAAATGGCATAACTCTCTCCCTCATCACCTCAATTCACATTGCAACTCACAACAGGCACTATTTTGCCTTGGTTTCTTCCTCAGTCTAAGTGAATTTACTTGGACAAAGCAGCAGACAGAAACCTGTCCTTTTAAAATAATTCTTCAAATACCATGTGTTTCTGAGGAACCAGGTTTCACAGAATTCACAAGGGTTTAAGAGATCATCTGGTCCAACTCTCCTGCTCAAAGGAGGGTCACCTGGAGCACATTGCTCAGGAGCTCGTTCAGTTCGTACATTTTCTTTACAGTTGGAGCAGTTTCCCATTAAGCTCCACATTCCTTTCTTTGACAAGAAACAGAACACTGAAATAAACTAAAATTACACACTAAATGTACTGTGAGTAACTTCAGCCTACCTGTGTTCCCATACAGCCTTTTTAATAGCTGAGGTAATTGATAATGTCCATACACTTGCATGAATTAACTGCCTTACCTGAAGCAGAAATATTTCCTCCAAATCTAAAATGAGTCTGCTCTCCTTGTCTTAATGGGAAGTGCTGTGTAGGTTCTGGGGGACCAATATAACCTTCCTCATAGAGCTTTTGAAGTTCATTGGTTAATTCTCTGGATGCAGACAGCAAAACTACTATTTTATGTGGGTTTTCTCTTTTCTGATACAGTATCACATTAGCCGTCGTGCTACAGAGAGCTTCTCCCAGAGCCTGAGCAAAGAGGAGAAGATACCTGTTTTCCAAAAGGAATGCAAGGCAAATGACCACAAAGCTGTAGTAAGGTAAAAAAAAATAGAAGTAAAGAAAATTATATTTAAATGCTTTATTTAAAATAATTTATCAACTGCTAATAATTTTTTCTTAAAAATAATATGGGGCTCATTCTCCAAGGAAACTTTTGCTACCTTCTCTTCATCCTTGTTTCCAACATATGAAAAGGTGGAAATTTGCTTGTGTTTGTAGTGTAAAGTATGTTGACTATGTAGATATGATTTCAAATACACATGAATTTTACATGAAAGGAAGATAATATTTCATAATAGGAATTTAAAAAAAAATGCCTTTTTAGTTAGAGAGCTAAATCACAGTTGCCAGATAGTTGATTAAGACTGATAGTTGCATTTCCTTTCTCAAGGTTCTATGTACTACATTGTGTACATTCTATAAATGAAAAAGGGTTTTTTTTTGTAATTGTGAGCAACAAATCTAGGAGCAAGTTAATGGTTAAAAATGGATGATTTCTTAACACTACTAATTTCCACTTATTTGTAAACACAGAAATAAATATTTAAGTGAAGAAAATTTTGTTAAATTATTCATGCATTACCTTTATAAATGCTCATTTAGTTCAAAAGATACAAGCCCATTTCTGTGCATTCTAGATAATAACATCATCAAACACCTTCCACCCCTCTTCATTTCTATGACCTAATAATTTCAAAGTATCACTGAGATTGTCCCCACTTTTTCTCACAGAAGTGCTCACAGCCCTGGAAAGCCAAATAATTATAGGAAAAATAACATAAAAATAGTTCTGCAGAAAGAGTAAGCTTGTGTTTGTAGCTGTTTTCCCCTCTGCTGTCCTTGATGACTTTTTCTGGTTTACCCACCTTGCTTAAAATCTGTGTCTGAAGGGATACTTCAGAGTATGTGAATGATATAATTATTTAGAGGTTTTTTCTTCAATTCTCCAGAAACTGCTGAAACATAGAAATCATCTTTTTTTTTTTTTTTTTCCAGGAGTCCCCATGTTTAAATGCTTTTTTAAGACATGCCAAAAAGTTTTAGAAATATTGTACTGCATGCTTTTGAAAAATCTGGACTTTTATCTAGCGCATAAAATTGACCTACTATAAACCCTTGTGCCATGCATGTTGATTCAGGCAACCATTGAAACTTGTAGAAGTAATGACGAAAAAATTCAAAGGTCAGACTCAAATCAACTTGGTGTGTTATGAACACAGCAGCTCTAAGTAATGTCTATTCTTTGTGTTCAATTTTTGACTTTGGTGAACATGTCTGAATATTTATTGGTGAAAAAACTTCATACAATCTTCATTCTGACTCCTGCTAGAAATGTAGTGGTCACCATATTTAAAGTAGAAACATCAAATACTGCATTAATTTTTCTGGTGAAACTATAGCATGAAAATTTTGAGAGCTTGCTCTAGTGTTTCTAACAAAGCCCGTAGGTATTGCAGTCTATATAAAAGAACAAACATCATTTTAATACAAGAAATCATAAATCAAAATCTGTTAAAATTCATTGATTTTGATGTTTTAAAAAATGGTGAATTTGAAGTGAGGGTATTACTGAGGATGGTATGCTGCAGCAACCCTCTTTACTGTAGCACTAATGGCTCTTGCATCTTCTGTCTCAACTCCTTGCCTTTTTTTGTCTGGGTTGGGAGGACAGGGTAGAGTAATAGTGACTGAGCTGTTAAAAGGTTGGGATGAAGGATGCTGGACATGAACCAGCGCACTCATAGATATCACTGAGTGATACATATAATGTCTTGCTTTCAATGCTGAAATTGATGGCTCAATTGGCTGAATCTAAGTGTAGAAAGAAATTGTATAATCAGCTTGCAATAAAAATATCTCTTCTATTACATGCCTGGATTTTTTTACAAGAATTTGTTTTACAAAATTGGTTTATCTTTTGGAGTTGGTTAGGCTATCACAGAAGAATCAGACTCCTCTTTTTAACCCAAGAACAACCTTACCTAAATAACAGCACTTTATACAAAGCTCAGAAAAATGCTTGAAAGTCATCAAAACTTGGAACTTCTATTGCCTAAAATATTTATATAATTTTGTTCCTGATTTGAGTTCGAGTTTTGAAACTCATGACCTTCCTCAGATTTTGAAAAATTTCTGAGATTTTTCTAATCTGTATTTTTTCATAATTTTAATTTCTCCATACTTCCCAATTAACATCTTAATGGGGAAAGGGAGAAACACAACTGAAACACAATTTGAGACTATACTCAGCCTAAGACTAATATATGATAAAAACCTTTTGTTGCACTTGCTGGCACCAAGGAGAGAAATGGTGAGAGAAATGAGTCAGATGAGAGAAATGGTTCCATTAACTTGATCACTGCACCAAGCAATTAAAGTTTTGAGTTGACACATCTTCATTGAAAATTACTATATTTTCTGAACTATATCAAACAAGGGAAGATAGATCTTTTTTTTAGCTAAAGATATGTGGTTTTAACAAAGCTGACAGGAAATCTGCATGTACAGGATGTGAAGCTGCAACTTCTGATTAGATTCTGGTTTTTGTAGACTTCTGATATTGGGAGAGATTGCACTTTAAGATTATTAGCATACTGAGTTCAGAACTGATCAGATAACAGGCTTATGGAACAAGTATCACCTATTTCAAGCTTACCTTTATCTGCCTAGGTGCCAGAGAACTGAATGTTTCTGAATGGTAAGAGAAAGAGATTTGAGAATCCACGTTCAGCTTTTGTAAGAGTCCTGCCTTTGGAACAGTAAATGTTTCCTTCTTTAAGCATGACAACAAAGAAAAAACCCCCAGATGATAAATTTTTACTTCTGCAAAGCTTTCCTGATTAAAGAGAATGTGAGGTTAGAGTATTGGAGGGAAAGGACGCTGTGTTTCACAGTTTGAGAAGGTAACATTCTCCACAGAGCCAAGTATGAAATGAAAATAAATTGACTATTATTGCCACCTGCATGCCCAAGTACCTGGTGATCTCTAGTCATCATGTGATGTTCTTCATATTCCAGTGTATGACTGGGGTGAAATGAAATCAATTTATAAATTGGGTGATTAATCTGGTCCAATACAACACTTCTGCATTTAAAAACTGTTCATTTGACATAGTTTGTACTTATTTATACTCATGGAATTATGTTATTTTGTTGTGATCTAAAAGCACAGTAATTCCTCCTAAATTTTGCTTTTATCAAATAATGCAATGCATTGCACTTATTTACAATAATCATGAAACATTACTCAACCATTAGTATTATGGGATCAAGCATTTGCTTAACATTGTAAGTGAAAAAAACAATGTTAGTAAATACTGGTTTTCAAATAGAATTAGTGCTTGAGAAAGTAGAAAGTTCTGTTTAACCACACATAGTGGGCAATATGATTTAATAATGACAACTTTACTTGAAAAACTCCAGAGACTTAACTGGGAAGCTCAAACTCTGCTTTTGCAATCCTTCGATGAGAGTTACCTTATGGTTTCCTTGGGATCCTTGCAAAGAAATAGGAGTTAAGTAGTTTGACTGGAAGTTGGCATCAGTTACCTTTACCCTAATCTCCTGATAATTTCCTCTGAAGCATGATGTAAATGGGATTGCAATGTTGATAGGGAAAAGCGGTTTTTCATAATCATAACATTCCATACTGGTGACATTGCTGACCAGCTCCTCAGAATCATCCACCACCAAGGAACTAGTGTCATTGAGTGTATTACACTTCAGATTCTCCAGAACAGTTGCAGGGGCTTTAATAAAACAAACTATTTCCTATGGTTTTTCCCCACTCACTTTGACTAGAAATATATTTAAAAATTATTTGTATTTGGAGTGGGGTAGCATTTTGTATTTTTAATTAAATATTTCAATGTAATGATGTGCTATAATGAAGCATAAGAAGACAATTCAGAAAAAATATTTTTAAGAATAAATGAGAAAATCATGAAAAATTTTATGCTTAGTCTGTTTCAGAACAGCTTATAAATTACTGTAAAACTGATGAATTGTGGTCCTTTCCTACTAATTTCCCACAATTTGAGGATTATTGACTTTACTGGCTGTGACTCAGTCCCTCTCTGGCATAAAAAAAATTATCCAAATAGAAACTTAGGGTTTACTTTAGAGCAAAGGGAAAGATCTTCATTGCACATGTTCAAATTGTAAACTGCTGTTATGTGTACAACCAGCATCTGTTCTGTACATGTATATTGAGTTTCTGCACCCACACATGTTTATAAATTAATAAGCAATAATTATGTACATGTGTTCCTAAAAAGAGGAAGAGAATGTGCTTACTCTTTGTTCATCCAATATCTAGATTTTTGTACTTCTTCTGAATCACTCACAGAAGGATTCACATCAGGAAGATCATAAGTTTGTGCTGAAGATGTGAAGGTACTTAGGTAATTTCTAAAAATCTCTTTTTTAAAATTTATTTCACTGTCTTCCATTTGTGGTCTTCACTTTCTAGCCCTTTTAAATTGTCCCTGACTACTACTACTTCCTTTTTCTTCTGTTGAAAAGAATTCATGGTGCTTCTGTCATGAATGTCCTTCAATGTCCCAGACAGAATGTCTTCCTCATTGCTTGTGAGAGCATCCTGAAAAGCCAGGTCTGGAGGCTTTTCAGTAACAGAGCTACCTCCATGAAGTTTTCCACTGCACTCTTTTTTCTCTGTAAAACAGAAAATCACTAGTTGGTGTTCACCATCTTCCTTTTTCATTGGAGACTCTCTGCTGGTGTCTTGTTCTTGAGCAGATTTGTTTTCAGCTAAGGATACAATTGTCCCCACAGTTTTAATTTCACTTGTGTGGGTTTGATTGACATTTTGACTTTCTGTCTTGTTCAGAAAAGGCTTTCTTTGGAATTGCTGTCTGGAACTGGAAGATGCTTGCACAGAGTCTGTTGCTTCTCCTTCCAAACAATGCACATCTCTTTCTCCAGAAGCATTTTCACCAGTCTGGTTCTGAGAATCACCATCTTGTCTGCAGCTTGCAGCATAAAATTTATTTCCTGCTGCTTGAAGGTGTGAGATTGTATTTGTCAAATACTCTTTCACTTTCTGCAGATAATTATAATTCCATTGTATTTTCAGGCAAAAAAAAACCCCAAAAAACAATTGCATTTTGCTATGAAATCTAGACAAAAATGTGAAAACTATTATACACATATTTATTGAATTCCATATAATCGCATAGTACCATTCAATACATAAAGCACACTCTATTTCCTGGCTTCCATTTAATGTTTTTGCATATATTGCTATTCAGGTGAAGTCAATTTCTAAGGAACTGAATAGAGACAAGTACATTTTTATACTTGTCTAAGAACAATTTTGTGTGTATTTGTCAAAATTTTACTCTGGCAACTCTAATGAACGCTTTTCTAATGATCAGACTCTAGCTAAATTCTTAATGACAATCAGTCCAAAGCATGGTATTGATAAAATATAGTGAAATCAATTTGGGAAGATCTTTAAAATTAAATATTATATTTCCTAAAATTGAATTGTGTAAGATTCTAATGTATAGGTCTCTAGCAAGGCTGTTATACATGGACCTAATTTTAAATACAGACCTTAGAAGCTCTGAATTTTGCTATGAAGAAGAGATGACAGCACAAAACCACCAGCTCACATATAATGCAAGCTTAGAAATTTGTAATATCCAGTTACAGGAATGGTGAAGATTGCCCTTGCATGTAATTAAAACCACTTTGTGAAGAAGAACGCACAAAAAGCACACAACCACTATGTGCCATTCATGTACGATTTTAACTTATATATTCTTTGATTATATTTCTTATCTTGAACCTTTTCTAAGAAATTATTCCAGATATTCTCTCAAAGGATTTAAAATGTATTACTTAGAGCTCTTCCAGCATTATATGCTGTCAACCCCTATAACTGTAGAGGTATCTTGACTAGTTAGATATATTGGAAACCATGGAAAATTTTATTTCTGTGCTGTATGAGATCCTGGAAAATTCTGTTTTGCAGGTTAAATCTCATGAAAGTCAATACAAATAAGACAATAGACATAGGGTACAGTATGGTGGGCTTCCACCTCCAATGTACAGATACAAGGAAAGAAAAACACAAAGGGCTGATGCAAGTCTTACAGGAAGCCTTTGACTTAACATTCACTTTTTTAACAATATCACATCAGGTAACTAATACCACAAGGCTTTCAGCTTGGAAAATAATTCTATTAGGAATGCCATCATATATCAATTATACATCTCTCATCTCTATTGACATCTGGTTAATTTAAACCTACAAAAAATACAGGTCAGAATAGACTTTTCCTATTAAACTTGGGGGAAGGGAAAAGGAATCTTGCGATTTCAATGGGGACCAATAGAGGAATCTTTGGTGCATGTCCCTGCCCTTGATGGCATGCCATGCCTTTTGATGGCTTTGACTTTGGGAAAGATTTTTTCCTTTTTTTTTTTTTTTTTTTAAGTATCCATGCCATGTCCCTCATATATTCCCCCCTAAATTGTGTTTTCCTCCACGACATATTCACCTGCTTTTGCAACATCTGTGAGCTTAGTTTTGGTGTCTTTTGGTCCTTTGCACTGCACCTGATAGAATCCCGGGCCATTTTCTTAGATTCACTACATTTCTCAAATTTTCTCTTTTTCTCCTCCAATTGCAATTCCTTTGATGGTATCTCCATTCCAGCGTGTTTGTAAGTTCTTCTTATTTGTTTTGGCCTTCAGTGGGGATCAATTTTGGCAAGCTTTGCTGCATGTGCCTGCACTTGATGGCGTATGGCCTGCCTGGATTTTGATGGCTCTGTCTTAGGGGAAGAGTTTTTTCTTTTTTTTGTTTTTTTTTAATGTGTCCATGCCATTTCCCTCATATCTTCCTCTCTTGATTGTGTCTTCCTTCTTGATATAATCCCGGGCCATTGTTTTGTCGTCACTAATTTCCCCAAATTTCCTCAATTTTCTTTTTTTCTCCTCCAATTGCATTTCCTGTAATGGCATCTCCATTGCAGCCTTGCCGTCAGCACACTATATACTGCCGTGAAACGTACGCGACACCTGAATCAGTGCCGTGCGCTGTTTATTTCAAAAATCTGTCTCAGTCCATTTTTAGGACAATGGAGACAACAGATGTGAACAGCTCACTGATTCAAATTGAATGCCAAGGAAACGTAACCTTACAGCATAGCATAAAGCCATCTCATTCCAAGTTTCAGGCAATCACACATAGTGCAACAACATATTGACAATTATTCTACGCAATCATGTGAAACGCACCTTACTGTAGTTAACACAATAGGGACTTTTTTTCTAACACAGTGGCTCGTTTATGAGAGACAGAGCACAGAGACGTATTCATACTAACCTTCTAAAGATATACATTAAATAAACTTGTTGCAACCTAAAAGGGCAAATCTCAGTGGCTTATTGTTCTATTTCTCACTTCTGCTCTACAGCTTAGAAAACTTTAATGCTGCATTAGCAATGTTCACAAATCTGCTGTCTGAGGCCTGTCTTTTTTACCATTTTCTCCAAACCCTTTTTTTTTTTTATGGATCCCAACATAGACATAGTACTTTTAGATGTGTTTTTTGGTTTTTGTTTGTTTATTTGCTTGGCATTTTGTTATATTTTTATTTAATGTTTGTTTTGTTAGATTTTTTCAGCGACTTTAAATCCCATAGTGAACACATCACCTGTTAGCTGTGATCTGAGAGTGCTGTGAATATAATTACATAGTTTAGCCCAGCAGCCATATTCCTTCTTGTGTCTGGAATCGAAGCAGATGGGGAATGCTTTCAACTGAAAGGATTCTTTACTTCTCTGAAAAGCTTGATCAGAATTTTGCACTTTTTTTTTTTTTTTTTTTAAACTCTGATGTCTCCTCAGGGATTCTAATCTCAATTTTAACAGTAAAAAGAAATAGCAGAACAATTTTATTAGTGGCCCGTGGAAGTAGCTGGGCGTGCGGACAGGATCACTTGAGTTGGATATTTTCCTGGTTCGGAGCACGCTGGTGCTGTGCTGCTTTCCAGCGCGACCAGCAGGTGGGGAAAGGGACAAGGCAGCAGAGACAGCGTGGCAGGAGCTGCAAATCCCCAGTTCGGCGGCTGCGGGGCTGCTTCTCTCCCAGAGTCTCTGTGGTCCAGATGACCCCGAGGTGCTGGAAAGCCTCATTTTCCCAGCCCCGAGATCGAAGGAATCAGGATTCTTCGGCTATGGTTTTCAAGGCTGTTTATTTTCTGTTATCTGTAACATTCTTTTTCTGACCTGCTGAGGTCTGTCCCGCAAGTCAGTCCGTGGCACACTGACCGCCCTTGGGGTGGTGTTATCTTTTTATACTAAAAACTATGGGTACATTATTTACAATAATTTTCCAATACCTATCACCTATGTTAGCCAGTCTGCTTCTACTCTAAACCAATCCAAAAGTGCCAGCATCACCCAGAAGATGGAGGCTAAGAAGAAGAAAGACGAAGGACAAGGTGCGCCCAAATCCCTCCATCTTAGCTTCTGAATTTTATAAAGCTCAAAATTCTACTTTTCCACCTTGTGACAAACTAACTGTCATTCCAGTTAAACTCTCGTGGTTTGTAAGTCTTCACATAAAGTTGGTAATTTTCTCCATGGGTTAAAATCAAAGGCACAGGTGTCTTTGGCTTCGTGACAAGGTCTCTGAGCCCCCGGCCAGGGGCTGGAGACATCCAGAGGGATGTCCTGGGTTCCAACACTTCTCCAGCTGTGAAACTGGGCTGGATGGCTGCATTACATTTCTTCAGATGATGTAGACAATTGGCTGTTGAATCTTTCTTTTGAATTCTTCCTGTATTTCTCTCTTTTAAAGATAACCTGAATTTACTTCTCTCTAGGATCTTCTGAATAAACATGAGTATCTGAAGTATATTACCAAGTGAAGTAACTCTATCACAAGTGGCATTATTTTGATAATTGCCCTAATCACATGAATGAGAGTAGTCAAGTAATTTTTCAGCAAGCTGAAATGCAAATTATTATTAAGAAGGTGGATATTTAATGTTGCATCTTTTTTTTTCCTCCCTCTGAAACATTGCCTTACTTTTTAAAAATGCCTGTGGTGTTCTAGGTGTTGCAGTAGAGGGGAAATAATGGTGCTTTTTGCCAGCTTTCCTCTTCTGGTGAGATTTTAATTCCTGAATGCCTCCTGATAAACAGAGAACTGTCAAAATCTTTCTTTTTAAAGACTTCTTGGAATCCCTGTGACTGTAGTGGCCAAAACAAATCACAAAAATGCTTTGCACTGGTACAAATTAGTGTCTATGGAGGTCCCTATGTGGAGAAGTGGCTTTATGGTGCAAGTAAGTGCCTTTGTGAACTCCTTTTTTTTCTTTTTTCTTTTTTTTTTTTTTTTTTTGTTTCCTTGCTGTGCGAGCTTTTGGTGGTAAAATTGTCATTATGATAGGAAAAGGTATTTTAAAGATGTTTTTGAACCTTGTGCCATCAAAAGAATACTATAAAACTAAATGAATAACCAACTTGAAATGTCTCAGTAAAAATAATAATAATAAATGTACCTTATGGACATTCAACAAGAAAGGACAATCAGCAAGATGCCAGCTGAACACAGCCAGTGAAACTTTTAAAATGTGTCTCTGGCAGGTAATTACTGTAGCTCAAGTTCCCAAATAAAGAGCTTGTCATGTTTCTTGCTCTTTGCCACCAGATATTTAGCATCAATTTGCATCTGACACAGGGTGTCAGATTGCAAAGCTGATTTGCATGATGTCTCAGTCACTGAAGCACTTTCTCTGTTTAAACATTGATGCTTTCCTCAGAAAATATTTATTCTTTGGATTAAGGGGGGGTCCTTCTGTTTGTACTACCATGTGCTTTTTATCTCTTTGATGGTACTGTGTCCTATTGCAATGCTGCTAAAGCTTTGGAAATGAGCATAAAAAGACTCAGAAGCATTAGTTTGATGAGGAAAGTGGAAGGAAATGAGTAGTGCTGGTGTTGGCTACTGTAAGAACAGCCAACCAAGCAGTAGCAACCCCTCTCCTGGGCAAATGGAGAAGGAACTTCCCTGGACAGCAA